CTGGGTTCCTCCTGGTGCACGACAATGCCCGGCCTCATGTGGTAAGAGTATGCAGGCAGTTCCTGGAGGATGAAGGAATTGATACCATTGATAAGCCCCCACGCTCGCCTGACCTAAATCCAATAGAACACCTCTGGGACATTATGTTTCAATCCATCCAACACCGGCAGGTTGCACCTCAGACTGTCCAGGAGCTCGGTGATCTGGGAGGAGATACCCCAGGACGCCATCTGTCGTCTCATTAGGAGCACGCTCCGACGTTGCCTGGCATGCATACACGCACGTGGGGGCCATACACATTACTGAATACCATTTTGAGTTGCTGAAATGAAATTTCGGCAAAATGGACTAGCCTGACGCATCATTTTTTCACTGTAATTTTTGGGGTGTCTTTGAATGCAGCCCTCTGTAGTTTGATTATTTTAATTTCCATCTAATGATGTGGCATCCTTTTGTTCCTAACCCATCACCCAGTCCATATCAGTATAAATAAACAGCAGGATTTTTTCCCCCCATTGAGATCTGATTTGTTTTCAAAGTGTTTAATTTTTTTGAGCAGTTTATTAACTAATGGAAGCCTGGATTTGGAGTCACACACAAAACTAAACAGACTAAAGGATGATCCAGCTTTGATGCAATGTCCTTAAAACAGGTCAGAATTATGCTCTGTACTGTGTGTGGCCTCCATGTGCCTCTATGACCTCCCTACAACACCTGAGCATGCTCCTGATAAGGTGGAAGATGGTCTGCTGAGGTATCTCCTCCCAAACCTGGACTAAAGCATTGGCCAACTCCAGGAAACTGTGGTGCACTGTGACATTGGTGGATGGATTGCGACCTGATCGGATTCAGGTCTGGGGAATGGGTGGGCCAGTCCATAGCTTTAATGCCTTCATCTTACAGGAACTGCTGACACACTCTGGCCACATAAGGTCAAGCTTTGTCCGCTATTAGGGGGAACCCGCACAGTCATACGGTTTCACAAGGGGTCTCAGGATTCCATCTCTGCACTTATTGGCAGTCATGCTACCATTGGGGAGCACATGGAGGTCTGTGTGGCCCTCCAAAGAAATGTCACCCCACACTATTACTGACCCACTGCCAAACCGGTCATGCTGAAGGATGTTGCAGGCAGCTGATCACTCTCCATGGTGTCGCCAAACTCTGTCACAAGCTCAGTGTAAACTTGTTTTCATCTCTGAAGAACGCAGGGCACCAGTGGTGAATTTGCAAATCCTGGTGTTCTCTGGTGATGGAAAAGTCAGGCCATCACTTTGTCTGGCCCCTGTGGTCCTCCTGTTCCTCCTTGCGCAAAGGCTGAGGTAGCAGTTCTGGGTTCTTGCCGTCCTGCAGCCTCCTCCACGTTTCCTGCTATACTTTTCACAGAAGTTTAGTTAAATTGCAGTTATATTGGAGTTATACCAGTGGCGGTATTGATATTGTGTAAAAAGATCAATACTTTTTTTCTCTCCAGGAGACACTGACTGCACCTCCAGTCTCTATGTCTATCACAGCACTTTGCTGCTCTCCCTCCCGTCTCATCGCTGTCTTGCACCATCACATGGCTCAATATATGTTTTATGGTGTGTTAAGCTTCTTTGTCATGACTTTGTTTTAACTGCTTTAAACTTAATTTTTTTAGTTTTCCATTATTCAATAGTAAAGTAAAAACAAATCGTAAAAATACCAAAAGGTAAACAGTTTTATGTGGGGAGTGGCGGTTAGGGCATAGAGCAGGGGTGGGCAACTCCAGTCCTTGAGGGCCGGTTTCCTGCAACATTCAGATTCATCCTTGGTGCAACACACCTGAATCAAATGGTTGAATTACCTCCCCAGAATGCAATCAATTTCTCCAGAGTCCTTTTAATGATCAATTTACTTGATTCAGGCTTGTTAAGTAAAAACATATCTAAAAGTTTCAGGATACAGGCCCTCCAGGACTAGAGTTGCCCACCCCTGGCATAGAGCTTGGAATCCTGAGGTTCTGAGTTCGAGCCCCAGCACCACAGTCTCCGCTCTGCGTCCCTGAGCAAAGACCTTTAACCCCACACTGTTCCCTGGGCTAGAAGGGTTAAATGCAGAGGTAAATTTCTCAAATGTGAGATCAATAAAGTTAAATTGTTAATGAGATGGTCAGCAGCTCTTCTTTCCTTTTTCTTTTTTGGAATACGCTTAAGTACCTATTATTGGTATGCATTGTCGCTAACACATTATACACATACGTAACGGTTATGGTTTTAATCTACGCTCTGGATTACCCATAATTCCAAGTCGTAGTCTAAAAAATAAAATGCTCAATTACATTGTTCTTCTAAGATCTTTATTGCGGTTTGAAACATATTATAATCTTGCATTTTTACCAACCGTCTAATGAACTATACACAGTTATTAACATAGTAATTAAAAGTACCACTATCTGCTTTGCTATTGGTGCCGTGTTTAAACGGCTCACATCATATTGAAATCTGCCATGTGTTGGGGTATAAATAAGGTGTGGTTAGTCAAACCAGTATCAGGTGGGTTTAAGAGGTATTTTTTGCACCATTACATCTGCAAAGCGACATTCTTGTCCACAATTACGTAGGGCGGAGATCTTCAACAGGGGGTCTGACTTCATGGGGTTGTGAAAATTTTGGTTGATTAGATTTTTTTTTTTTATTCCCCCATGCAATTTTTTCCACTAATTGAAATGTCTTTAAATCCACATTAACATGATTCAACACACTGTAGTAAAAAGATAAATGGAAGCAGAAGATGTCTTTCAGACACTGAATGTGCAATATATGTGAATAGAATAGTCATACCACTACCTCATTGTTGTTCCTTACCTACTACACTTTAATGTAAAAGTAAATCCACCTGTATATAAGCCATCCGGATTGTACATATGACACCTCAAGTCTCTGTGCTACTACCTTGTATTTTTTTTTATTTTCTTATTTTTATTTTGTTCTTCATTGTGTGCGATATATGTACACTTGCACCTTAAAGGAATAGTACACCCAAAACATGATTAGCCTTCATTTTCTACTCACCCCCATGCTGAACAACACTCTGGAGTACTTTTTTGATATCTCAAATGCATCTGGAGATCTGGGAGGCTTCTTGCTGTCTGCTGACATTCAAATAATGGAGGTCTATGGTGCCCGAGGCAGAAAGGTCCATAAAAGTCCACAAAAAACGTATCAATATTCCTCCATACTGCTCGTCCAATGCGTTCCAAGTGTCCTGAGTGGGTAGCATCCAGAATTTACTCGAAACGAAGTCATTTAGAATGTTTTTAGAGCATAAACAGTAGTGTATAGGATTTCCTGAAAGCGCGCGCGTGCGCGTTCACGACGCTACGGAAGCCGGCAGACCAACCAGATGAAAGTGTGCATTCAGCGTCTGCTCTGCCGATAATGCAAGCGTAGAAAAAGAAATGTGCTGTTTACCTGTGCAAAGAAAGAAACAACGAAAGAAAAATGTCTGAGGACTTCAGTGTTGAGGAAGAGCATGAGTTCTTTGCCGAGCTGAATGCGCACTTTCATCTGGCTTGGTCTGCCGCGGTTTCCGTAGCGTCATGAGCTCGCAGGCGCGTGCTTTCAGGAAATCCTATACACTACTGTTTATGCTCTAAAAACATTCTAAATGACTTCGTTTCGAGTAAATTCTGGACGCTACCCACTCAGGACACTTGGAATACATTGGACTAGCAGTATGGAGGAATATTGACACGTTTTTTGTGGACTTTTATGGACCTTTCTGCCTCGGGCGCCATAGACCTCCATTATTTGAATATCAGCAGACAGCAAGAAGCCTCCCAGATCTCCAGATGCATTTGAGATATCAAAAAAGTACTTCAGAGTGTTGTTCAGCATGGGGGTGAGTAGAAAATGAAAGCTAATCATGTTTTGGGTGTACTATTCCTTTAATCTTTATTTATCTTGATATACTGTATATACCTGGATATACTGTATATATATTGTTTATTCTTAATGCACCTTTTTCCTCCTTGTTTGCACCTTCTTTAATTACTATGCCAATATGTGAACAGTGAATTTCTTCGCTGTGAGATCAATAAAGCTCATCTAATCTAATCTAATCTAATCTAATCTAATCTAATCTAATCAATGCTCTTTCAAGCTGGGCACCATTTCATTCACTACACCTGTCCCAACAACAAGGAATCAGAATCATCCCAGGGCGAATTTATTTTCGTTACATGACTCCATCTATAATAGAGTGAAGTTTGATATAACACAATTTCATACAATATATATAATTAGGGGGTCCCCCCTCCATCAGTTTGGGGGTACGTTGAAAACCCCTGGCGTAGGGGGCCTACCAAGTGTCAGTGACAGGGGACCTAAGAGGTCAGGGGCCCCTAAGCAACTGCAGTCTCTGCTTACCGATATTTACAGCATTGATATCAGCAATACAGACACTGTATATCCTTAGTATCGGCCTGATATCAAAATTCCCAGTATGTCAAATCTGTTAATTTAAAACCAATAAAGCCTTCAGACTTTTTTTTCCCCTTTAAATATGTTCCTCCCTAAGTAGCCTTTGACCACTGGGTGTCATCCAAGCAATAAAATTGCCAGAGGAGCATGAGGTTTTTCTGAGCTGCATGACTCACAGCTGGGTTTGTGTGAGGACCTTGGCCTGGGTAATGGTTGTGTAATGAGTTAGGCATGAAATCTCCCTGAGAAGCCCACCCCGTTATTTAGCTGCATTAACTTCAGCAGCTGGGAAAATTCGCACATTTTAAAAGGTAGAAATGTAAAGAGGGGGTTTGCTCCTCAGCAGGGCTTCCCCCCTCCTCCTCCTCATAAGCACACCTCCCCTCGGTGAAATGTATGGAAGCACTGCGGCACACTGCGTGTATTTCCAGGCTGCATGGCTGCCTGGCTCAGCGTTCAAAGGCAGAGCGGAAGATAGGAGGAGGACTACAGCAGGAGAGTGGGAGGAGGAGGGAGGGAGGACAGTTTCCTTTCTGTAACACACTACGGGAACACACCGCCGGGGGAAAAAAAGAAAAAAAAAAAAACGGGGAGAGGGAAGAAAATAATAACCAAGAGAGGGAGCAGGAAACACCGCAACCCCTCCGTCCGTTTACCCGTCTCCCCGTCAGTCATCTTGGTTGTTTTTTTCTCCCTTTAAAGCCCGAGAACCCGTTTATTTTTCTCCCTTTTGCGGACTAACATGGACAGAGAGGAGGACTGACTTCCAGTGAACCTCTCCTCTGTGACTGATAGGGAGGGAAAAGGCGGCGGATGGGGAAGACATGTTAAGGGGCTCTTCGTCTTGAGGTCGCGGTAAGGCTGCTGTCGGTGCTCCGCTCTCTAAACACTCCGGTAAGAGGAGAAGGAGGAGGAGGCGGATAAAAAAACAAAACAAATGTAAAGTGTTCCGAGCTGCCAGTTGGTGTGTTTAATTGGTTTAGTTATGGTCTGATATAAGGCAGGCCTCTGAGGCAGTTTATAGACGGAGAGCAGAGAGAAGCTATACCTGCTTAGCTTCGCATCTAACTGCTTTTATTTTAGTACGTTTTCTCCATTTTTGGATTAAAAACAAACAGGCTATTGTTTATTCGTTGCTATATTCGTTTGCGGACACACCAACTCTTTTAGGGTTTTTTTTTAACAAAACGTGCTCTTTTTTTAAGACGTTTTTTTTATACATATATAATCACCGTTAGGTTTAAAGCGCGGAGGTGAATTAGCTTCGTTTTAGTTTTGAAAGAAACAAAGGAGGATTTTTTAAATGTTAATGTCGACCGACGTTGCTTCCATTATGCTGCCTGTGTCCCGGGCCCTGATGGACCGGGACAGGGAGCTGGACGCCATGGCCGGGGTGCACGCCAACCCGGCCGGTGTCGCTGGAGCCGTGCGGGGCATGAAGCGCGGAGACCCGGAGCCCGACGGACAGACGGCCGCTGCTATGGTGGACACCACCGGGGCGGAATGCAAGCGTCCCCGGATGGACGGCTCAGGGGGGATCGGTGAGGTTGGACAGGTGAGGACAAGAACCGGTTCCTGTTTTTATGAAGACTATTTCTGTTTTATCCAACCGGTGGCTGCTGCAGCAGGAGGCCCTGCATGCATTCTGCCTTTATTCTGAGCTGAAAATCACCACACATGCTTTGGATTTAACTTTTAATTATCAGGACATAATCAGCATCATCCTGCTCCTCACACATCCTGTTCAAACTTTTCAGACATTATTTGGGTTGATACATATCCTTAAATCCTCCAGGCTAGACAATGTAAACAAACCAGACCTTCAATTATATACTGTAAAAAAAAAAAAAAAAAAAAAAAAAAAAACTATCTTTTCCCATAACCTTTCCTAATTTTTTTCAGGTTTTCACCAATTGGTTCATGCACATTTTTAAAATAATTATTTCTATAGGGTATAGGCTAATTTATTGATTGATTGACTTCATTGATCTCACAATGGGGAAACTGTCTTTATGCTTTAAAGGCACGCAACTCTTATCTGAGTTAAACTAAATAATAAAACCATCAGTGCACCAAAACTGGGTATATTTTGCAGTTAATAGATCATCACACTAGAGGCTGAGGGATGCTTTGGATATCATTAGAGTGGATTATGTAGGCTGAGCTACTCCACTGCAAGACAGAAAGCTATTTCCCCTCCACTGAAAGAGGCTATAATGGAGGTGAAGTGGCCTGTTTGCTCCTGTTTGGGAAAACTAAATGGCTTGCTTCAGATCACCATCCCGTCTAGTGAGTGCTGACAGTGCTTGCTGTAATGCACTTACACACATGTGAATGGAGGACTCTCTCTGTCTGTGTGTGGGGGGGATTGGATCAGATCAATCAAATTGAGGCTCTAAAATGTATTGAACTCCCTGGCTGGACAGTCCGGAAATGAGAGTGGGATAGGTACGCCCCCCCTCAGCCCCCTCAGCAGGAGTTACTGTTGGTCCTGCAGCAGCAGCTTTGCACTATCAGTTGCAGTAAAGAGGCTTTGTTTCCAGCTTATGGGATCACTTCACATACTGGAGGGATCTAAGATTCTCAGTTAAAAGGATCAGGGGGCAAAAAAAAAAAAAAAAAAACACAAAAAAGGGTGAATGCATAAATATTGGTGACATGAGCTTTAGATGAAGATGAATATTATTTATGTGCAGCTGCTGTAATTGCCTGACAGAAATGTGATGAGGAATTAGTAAAATCATTTTTCAAACAGACGTGATAACAAAGCCATGTTTGGCCCTTCAGCTCAAAGGGGACAATGTGTGATGACTGTTAGCTTATTAATTCTGACTGGTTATAAATTAACTATGAATTTGTTGAGGAAAATAAGAGAATTAATTTGGAATGAAAACGGTGAACAAAAAGGGCTGAAAATCGAGGTTCTGTGCAATGCTTTACAGTTATTTGGAAAGTTGATTCGAGGTTAACTTAGACATTCTTTAATAGATTAAGCTTTCAGACCAGTTTTTTAAGAAATATTTATCATCACAGCTCATTGTTTATGGTATATTAAAAAAATATATGTCTGTGAAAGTACCATTTAAAGTAACATATCAGCAAACCTGAATGAGTTTTACTGGGATTTAATGATAGAACAACTGTAACTGATGCATCTTGGTGAACAATGTAGAATATGATTGATGGTTTTTAATGATTTGACATAAAAACCTGGAAGGAGCAGCATGTTTTGTGCTAAACCCCCACCCCCAACCCACCCACACAATGCATGATGCTGCCACTACTTTGTTCCACACTGCAGATTGTGCATTCAAGGTAATGTTATGTTCCATAGGTCCAAAATGATAATTTAGACTTTCTTCTTGGTGATTTCCATAGAAGCCATGTTTGCTGATAGCCGACTCTTCCACCTGAGCTCTGGATTTCTGCAGCTCCTCCTGAGCTATTTTGCGTTTTTTTCCTCATATCTTTGTAATTCTCTCCATGGAGCTGTCACTATATACACCATGTGTAGATTTGTGTTTTTGCTATTATGCTTCCATTCTCAGATCATCACTTGAACCTTTGTCTGAAATCTTCGAAGATTAGGTTTTTTTGTTGTTGATTTAATCACCTCTGTCTGTTTAAATCTTTAAATCACAACAGGCCACCTTCCCCTTTTCTTCTCTGTGCTGTTTGTCCACTAATGTTAGTTCCATCTGATTTTTCTCCGGAACATCATGGTAATGTGTTCTATACAGAAATATGATTGTTTCTCAGATCTGGAAAAAAAATGACCAATATCATATGAAATATTATGTGCTACTTTCTGTTGGCTTGTCACAAAAAAAAAAAAAAATCAAAATAAAATCATTGGAACTTTGTTTTTCCAACTGTATAAAATGTGGAAAAGTGGCATACTTAAATATTTCCATTCTACTTTTCCAAGGAACTGCGTTTATTTTCCTCCAATCTGCTGACGCCATTAATACTGTAGAGTCTAGCTTGGCTAAATGACCCTCAATTTTCCATCCCCTGCAAACTTATTTATCCAAGAAAACCCTCTAAAAGTGCAGAGAAGCGTGTCTGTTAAGTTAATCTGCAGAGGATGGAAAATATTACAGCTACACTGACGTGCAGAAGCAACAGTGTGGCCCTTACTTAATCCTTTCCATCCTTCATGTGAGGTTAAGAAAAAGAAAGTAAGCTTCATTGCAGACGTTATGGCAAAATCTGAACTTTGAGGTGTGCATCAGCATGCTTTAACAATTAGATAACCATCAGTCACAGATGCTGTTTTAGTTTTTTGTCAAGTCAGATCAGCAACGTTTTATCTAGGCAACAAAATTTTGCTATATCAGTGCAGCATGAATGAAGCGTTTAGCTAATGTGGCTAAATTAAAGGCTGCAGGTCTGACAGCAGTTTGAGCAGTGCTTACAAACCAATGGTTTGATTTTTATATTGGTGTCTGACTCACTGCTGCTAACCTCACTACATCCAATCAGTCTACTTTATATTCATCTGCTGCGCTGGGGGAAGTCCTGTTTTTATTTCCAGGCTGGCAGGGGATTTATAACACCTCTCATCTTCAGCTCCAGTCACATCATTGGGAACGTTAGGAGGAGGTTGTCTATTTCGATATCTGTCTGGCCTGATGTGGAGCGTTTTGCTATTATTGCTGTGCAGGAATCGGTGCTCTCAGAACCTTATAAGGACCTGCCCGGAGTGGCAGTGCAGAGGACAGATGATTGGACTAGAACGCTAATGCATGCAGAGCTCCTCTTCGTGCTTTCATCCCTGACATTGCATTGAAACTACATGAATTTATGGGGTTTTTTTTGGGCTGCTAAAAATTCCTGGGAGAAATCGTTGAACAGATTTACATTTCTGAGGGCACCAGCAGTGTTTTGGACTGCAGATCTGCTGAAAAGTGGATGTGCTTAAAGTGCAGTTATGCTCCCTAAAATGAAGTGCAGCTGAGTGATGTGTTTTTAGCAGCATAATAAGATCAGATCAGCTTTGCTTTCCTCTTGGTCATATTTTGATGGTTTGTAGTGTTTGAAAGCCTTTCTCCTCCACATTTTTGGACGATACATGTACATCATCATCATCAGGATATTGCTAATATATATATCGCAAAAATAGAGTTAAACAGGGCTCGATGTTAACCATCGCCTGATCTCCCTGGGCAAATAGTTTTTATTGTTGGGAGAGAACAAATTTCATTGCATTTGCCCGCCGGGCAAAATTACTTTAAAATCACCGACATTCGATGAAAACGACCCAGAAGTGTTGCCGGCACCATTTTTGTTGTTTTGTACAAATTCTCGCGTGATTTGAAAAAGCCGGGTGATTTTCCGCAAGGTGGCGTGATTTTGGTCCACCTAGCAGTAATTTTGATGTAGTTACCAAAACGACAAACGGCTGCATGTCAGTTAAAAGTCAGGGAATTATGTAAGACTGTGGAAACCCTGTATAAAATAACTATGTATAATGATTCTCTAGAAAAGTCACATTATATTAAAAGTATTATCTTGTATAACATACCGTGACTCTAAAATAAAAGTTATTCATTTGTGACATTGACTTCTGTCTTGTGATTTATCTTAAGTTTTTAACCTGTCAAGTTTTTTTTAGATTTTTAGCATTACAATTTATATTTTTCCAAGCACACAACAGTTTAAAGCAAAGTTTAGTTTGAAAAGAATGTGCAGGAAGGATTGAAAAGCATGTTAACACGGTAATGTAGGCTTGAGTTCATTATCTGACGCATGCATATACACACCAGGAACCTGGAAACTTAAAAAATACTGAATTACAAAAAACATTTAAAAAACAAACATGTTTCATTGGAACTATATTTATCAAACATTATACTGGGCAAGTAAAAATTGTTTCTGGGCAAATGAAATGTGAAAGTCACTTGCCCATAGGGCAAGTGGTAAAAATTCAAAAAAACATTTTATTCCTTTTTTTTCCTTATAGTGGAAATTTTAACAAAAGGCTTATTTTGTTTGGAAATCAGTCTGAAAATGATAGATCAGATGCAGACTAATGTTCTAAAAAACAGGGAAACAATTCTTTACTTTGACCACTGGCTTCAGTACCTTTTCCCATGTGACCCAAATACACATTAATATTGCAGAAAGCAACTTTAGATTAAAAGGAAGTTAGAAAAGGAAGTCATAAAAACAATTAATTGTGTTTAAAAGACAAATTCCAGGTTGAAAACAAATATTCATCTTTAAGGTGTCAAATTAACAGGATTTATTTGATCAAGAAGGCATAAGGGGTACATTTTCCTGCTGATCAAGAGATTTTCTAGCTAACTTCATTTTATGATAGAAATAGTTTGAATACTTCTGTGTCCAAGGATGGGTCCATTTTCACCAAAACCCAAACTAGAATTTTCTTCAATATCAAGACAAATACATATATCAATATCAGATTGATAAATCTGTAATTTTGGTTGTCATTTCTGAAAACAGAAAGTTCTTTAAATCACCTTGGATCCAACACATAAACAGGGCTTTGTAAGTTTGCTCTATATAAAAGGACAACCTATCAAATCTGAT